TTTTTTTTTTTTTGGAAAAATATGACATTCAAAATATCTGGCATATTTTTTCCAGTTTACTTTTCTAAGCAAATAATATTCAAAAAGATTCATTTACTTTAACATACAGGATATATAAAGAGATTTGTGTAATTTTTCGTTTTGACGTTATAATTTAACATATATAGCTGCAAAAATAATTCAAGAAGAGCTACAAAAATTATTGTAATTATGGAAGAGTGGCTATTCTACAAAGTGAAGTCGGTGCATTCGGTAAAGAGCAGTCGAAGGAAATTTTTCATTCCCTCCAACTTAATTAATCAAGTGGCGACGAGCTTTATCATTCGTTTGAATATTTCATCAGGAACAAAATGGTGCGGCAGTGGCAATATCGCGAACAGCCCGGACGATCTTGGAGTATTCGCAATGACTGATGCATGCTGCCGTGAACACGACAATTGCAAAGATATAATCGAATCGATGCAGACTAAATACGGTCTGACCAATACTGCTTTCTACACAAGGTGAATCTTCTAAATTAGAACAGTGTAAATCCTTCAATTAGTATTTCTTTTTTATCAGGATGATATATCTCGTATTAACGTCTCTTAGAATATTCCGTGTTAAACGATTTTCAATAGCATTCTATTTTTATTCAAGACAAGTATCCGATTTAAAAGAATTAAAATTTAACGATATATTTTCGAATATTTAATATTCTGGCTTATTTTTATATTATTTCTCTTTTGCAAAAACATTAAATTTATTAAAGATTCGATTTTTGTATAATATAGCAGAAAGACTTGTGTGTGTGTTTATTTTTTAACGATAAAAATAATGGAACAATTCGAATATGTAGCTACAGCGTAGATAGACTTGTTGAACATGAAAACCTGGGGAAAAAATATATATATATTTTGGCTCCTTTTTTATTTATGAACGAAATGCACGATTATTTTTTGTCCACGCGTACACTATTGCGTGTCATACGAATGTCATTTCGAAACATGCAGAGAGATTTGCTAGCAATTACAAAAGAAAGTCAATGTACTAGTTTACAATAGCACGTCTGTTGAGCGAGTTTCACGCAACTGGGTGCAGTTTACCAAGTTTCGTGCGTGTCTTGCTATAGTTACGGCTGACGTTTGATGTTGATATATGACGTTGTGCATTATCACAAACTCAGTATATTAATTATATAGGGGTGCAATTTTCTCTTTTGTGATATATGGAAAAACATAATGTTTTTAAAAGCTTATATTCTATGACATATTAAAAACACATATCGTAAAATTTAGAGAATTTGAAGCAACTACGTTCGATATTGAAATATTAGCGTGGAATATAAATTTATGGAAAACATCAAAATATCATATGACGTATGCGCTGAAAAAAATATAACGTAATATTAATCGTCTGTTAATCATAATAAAAGATATTTCGTGGCTGGGAAGGGATACATTTTTAACGCAAAATTATTATTACACGTTTGAAATATTGTATTCGTCGAATACATCTTTATTAATTATCATTAATAAAGATTTAGAACAAGAGTGAACTCTAAGCTACGTAATTTTTAAAGTTATTTTAGACACACGAATTAAATTATTTGTTGCAACATACTTCCATTATTTTATCCACTCGTTAGTTCGAAGAATTTCTTACAAACGTCACCGCATTTTCGCGATATAGTTGTGTGTGGTGAAGATAATTTCAAATTGAAATGAAGCTCTGTACCCGGTCGCTTTTTTATAGCGAGTAATCTGATAAAGCGTGGTGAAATGTATGAAATCAGGCTACACTGCTCGTGCGACGAGAGGTTCTACGACTGTCTCCATAGCTCGGAGGAACTCGTTAGCGCGAAGGTCGGCTTCCTCTACTTCAACGTGTTAGACACGAAGTGCTTCCGCGAAGACTACCCCATCGTTGGCTGCAAACGGCATTCACTGTGAGTCGTAAGCGTATTAAAGCTACGCGAGTAGAGAGTCGGCGTTCGACTTTCAAATGGGTCAGGCACTCGAGAGAATTTATCGATCCTCTCGCAATCCTATTTAATACGTACACACGGGTCGCTTCAATTTTCCACGCATCACGCGATCTCGTGTATTTATATATAGCGACATTATCGCATGCGTGTATTTCAATGAACGGTACGGTTTTTCCATTTACACTTTTATTTATGTCAATTGCACGTGGATTAAAATTATTATTTTTTGAAATATGATGTTTTTTTAAAGCACTTTTTTTTTTCAAACTATAAATATTCTCTGAGAATTATTTTTTTAAGCATATTTTTATACGCATTGAGAATTATATCCACGCGACATTTTTCGAATTTGCTTCTGTAATTTAATAGTTAAGTATTTTTATATTATATTCTTCCGATACACCGTATATCATGGCGATTTTTTAATGTGATTGTTGAGAACATTTCGTACATCGAAAAAACCACGGGTTTATTTCAAAAGCCACGAGCATTGGAAACTTAAAAAAAATAACGTGCTAACGATCTCTTGGCAGCATTCCTAGACGCTGTTTGGAGTACGAGCTGGACGAGAGCCAACCGAAGATGTATCAGTGGTTCGACGTACCAACGTATTTCCAAAACGACCACCGGGCGATGACGATGACCGGCCGTCATACTCGATCACTCGCGGTCCGATAGAGAAGTCTACTTTTGCGCGGGATCATGGGAGGAAATGTCGCACACCTGTACGAAGTCGTGCAAATTATTCCCGCTCGACCGTATCTTGTCAACGTAGTTGAATAAACGCCAATAAAATGACTTTAACGACCGACTCTCTTTCCCGCTATCTCTTTTCTTTTTTTTTTCGTCCCGCTTTAATACGTGTCGCTTTCGCCGGATACACGTAGTACACGAAGGATGCGGCTTTTTTTTTTTTTCGTCCCGCTTTAATACGTGTCGCTTTCGCCGGATACACGTAGTGTACACGAAGGATGCGAAATTATAGGGCGAACGATCCGCGAAAGTGGAAATTGCGAGGATTAAATACGCCAATTCACTGCGAATCATCAAAATCTTTCATTTTTATGGTTCGATACATTTGTATATAGCAAACGGCAGAGAGCTGTTAAGTACCGTACTGCACACAGGTTCAAGTTGAAATATTTAATAAAAACATATTTAACAAAAAAATATTTAGCGAAAATATTTATTAAAAAACATCGTCGCGCATGCGTCAAAAAAAAAAAAAAAAAAAAGATCATCCGAGGCGATTAAAATTGACAAATAATAACATTTTCCGCTACGAATATCATCGTAATATTATTATTTCTATCCACCTTGCTGCATTCGGCTGGCTGCACAATGTAGCGGTAATAAGTTCCTGTTGGAAACCTCACTAAATCATTTCGCTGTAATCGCCTGTTATCGTATCAGAAAAACAGAAGCTGAAATAGAGGCTAAGTTAGCACGCGGAGGAAGCGAGAGGGTTGGTCCTCCACGGGGGTGCCAAGAGGTGGGAGATAAGCGATGAGGGTCGAATCGAGGGTCTCGCTTCCCTCTTCTCTCTCTCTCTCTCTCTCTCTCTCTCTTTCTCTTCTCGCTTTTCCAAGGATTTCCCCCATTTTACGCGAGGCCGGTGCGGGCAGCTGGCGCTTACTCCGGGATTTGCTCCGGAAATTTATGTTCGGATGGAGCGCAGCCGCCATCCTCCGACCTCCCCCTCCCCCCCTCCCCCTTGCTGCCCCCTCTGCCACACCGATTTACAACTTCTCCACTCACCTGGACCAACTTTCGGACGCGCGTAAGCGCGCGCCAACTTTCTCGGCGACTCCATTCTTCGTCGGGTCGTGTACCATCGATGCGATGGGAAAAATTGTCGACTTTTTGCTTTGAGCGGCGATGATTTATCGCCGAGGAAGTCGCGCGCGTTATTGTCGTTGCGGGTCTCGTCGAGGTGTGATGTAGATCCGACACTAATAATAATGTAAGGTTATTGGATGTGAGACATTCGCGAAATTAAAATGGGTGAGCGATGAAAGGAAGGAGAAGATAGGACAGGCGGGATAACGGATAAGCAATAATAATTTGGGTGTCGGAAAAATATTACAAAATTCCAGGAATATTTTGTTAAAATTTCATCGAGAAGATATTTTTCCGATATTAAAGCATTTTATATATTATAGGTACATTTAATTAATATTTTATTTTTTTGTTTTTCTTTCTTCCATTTTCCAATAATTTGTTACAAACATACAATTTTTATCCTTGTGGATTCAAACGCTTGGAATTAATTTCAGAGAGATAAAATTCCTATAAGATATATTTTTTAAAAATCGGAGATGTTTTTTTAGAAATATTTTATTGTATTTTAGATGTTTTCACGTGTTCATCTGATTAAATACAAATCTATTCTATTCAACAACGAAACATTGATAACAAATTGCTTTCATTTTAGTTTAGAACCAAGAGCTCTGTTATGTAAATTGCATGGTGAGAAATATAATATAATATATAGGACGCTTTAAATTAAGCTTGGTTTAGCCACTTATGAATAAAGAGAGCAGGGATTTAAACAAATACAATTAGGATAACTTTAAATCTTTCTCTCCCTCCCTTTCTCATTCTTTTTTTCTCTCCATGGATGTTATAAATAAAAAAATATACTTTATATCAATAATGAATTTTTACAAATAAATATAGAGATTGTCTTTTTGTGTGTTTAAAAAAATATGTAAATGTAATTGAAAAGTATATCAATTACACTTGTAAAATGCCGAAAAAAGTCTTTGTATCATGCGTGCGACTTGTTACAGCTAATTGTAAATCAAATAATTCTAATCGCAAAGTCGAAACTCGCATCTGACCAAATTGTTTCTATTTTCTTCTTCAGATGTGGCGGCGTCAGTGGAGGTTCACTTCGAGAACAAGGATGGCGGATTCTTCCTGAAGCATTCGCAGCGACAATATTATCCCGCCCGCGGCATATCGGACTCCATCCCGGCGCCGTCGACAAGCTCGTCGAGCAACAACAACAATAATAATCCGGCGAGCGCGGTACCGTCGCCGCCGCCAGGCTCCGTCCTCTCGATCGACAAGTTCACCGTCTTCCAGACGAGCGAGCCGGTATCGGTGCGGGCCACGTACGGGCCCTTCAGCACCAAGCAGACCGTACCGGCGCGTTACATAGTTCCCGACCCGCTGGACGCGTTACCGGCACCGGAAACGCGGCGCAATCTCACGGCGGCGACGATCCTGGACGCGCAGGAGCTCGGCGCCCGTCACTTGGACATGTCGGCCCACCTGGTGGGCAACAGCGTGCCGCGCGACTCGCCCGTGCTCAGGGTGCTCTTCCACGCCGGCAGCGAGACCGGGGGTAGACGTCAGGTGCTGATGGCGCGCCATCAGCGGGTCTGCGTCGTCCTGCACGCCAGTCTGGCCAGCCCGTCGCGCAGCAATGCCGCGAGCAGGATCAACAATGGACGGGGATATTCTTCTTCCTCGTCCTCCTCCTCTTCATCCTCCTCCTCCTCCTCTTCTTCTTCATCTTCATCCGCCGCGCTGACGGCCGCCTGCAGCCCCGACGGCGAAAACGGCGTGTGCCTCGCTCAAATCACCATACCGGCGGATTGGTGGGCGCCGTTGCCGCCGCCCGATGCCTCCGGTCGTGTCAAGGTCGCCAAGAGTCTGCCGCGATTGATCCAGGTCGCTTACTCCGTCCTGGAACCGCGTACGGAGGAAGGCGGCGGCGGCAGCGGCGGTCTCGGCGGTGACGGCGGCGGCTCGGTCGACGGATCGGGTTTCTGCAGGCCCAGGGTGCAGATTCAACCCGTCACTCCTCTGGGTCAAGTGCCGCTGGCGCCGAACAGGGCGGATTACAAGGAACTCAGAGCGGACGACATGCTTACGCTGCTGGTACCCCACGGACCGCTCTATCCGAGATCCAGACTTCACGTCCCGGCGTTTCTGCATCCTGCCAAAGTAACGGATACGCGGCAGGATCGATTGCAATTAATCATCGCTGTTATCCTGAGGTAAGTCACTACGCGAGTTTTATGCGCATCTTTTGAGGAGACGATGTACAGGTAGAATAGAGGTAGGATAAGAAATGAAACGATTGTTTTGTTTATTCATATTAATCCTACTTTTAATTGTATTAGAAACACATCGAGGAGTCTATAAATATTGATGAGATTTAATATAAACCCACGATTAATTAGCGTCGACGCGAGTACAAAGACGATTACGATGTCCAATTTAACCGCTTCCGGATAAACGAGACAATTATATGCAACGTCGTTTCCGCGCGTTGGGGTTCACTTTGTGCATCAACTTTTTTTCGCATGTATTTTGCGAGGTACGTTTTAAACCCCCTCTCTCTCGTTCCTTCTCTCTCTCTCCCTCTCTCTTTCTCTCTCGCGCGCGCGCGAGCGCACGCGGCCGGAAAGTGGGTCGGAAACGTCCCCTCGGGAGGAGTTGAAATCTCCTAATTGGATGAATTGTCAAGTAAGCCGGTGGGCAAAGTTACAAGCTCGTCTGTTGTTAGTAAGCACTTGAAAGTTCCGCGACGCGGAATGCGAAGCAGGGGAAGAAGATACACTCGAGCGTGGACTAGCAGCCAATCCGCGTGAGAAACGTGTCGTTGGCTCTTTAAGAATGCGACCTGTGCTCGTCGGAGATGTTTCTCAACGTTCGATAACGATAGCGTTGTAGAACGCTTGCACTTTACAAGCAACTAGATACGGTGATTCCGCGCGAAATAATGACGTATACACGCGATAAACTTACAGGCGGGCTATAAGAATCGCGCAAAATCGGTTAATAATAAAAGACCCTTCGCATCGGCTCTCCATACAATCGCGAGCAGTAAAACTTATATAATTAATTAAATTAATTAAACTGACGTGCTGTATATTTATATTACGGATATCGCGAGATATCCTTTCCCAGCGATTTAAAAATAGAATTTTGATGAGAATTTTAATTCGCGCGTTATATATATATTTTTTTATTTTATTTCTCCATTTTTTTGAATTTATAATATATTGTTGGATTGAAATATATATATTTTTCAGAAATATATAATTTGTTTACATATTATAAACTCGCAAACATAACTACGAATTTTAAAAGTTTCTGCATGCAACATAGCTAAACATGGTGTATAAATTATTTAACTCGCTTTAATATTATAGTATGCTCGCTGTATAAATTTTTAAGGGATCGGATCGATAATTAAACCTTTATAAATAATGCTTATCTCACAAATATTTTTTTTACAATTCCGTGGTTTATATTATAGGACATTAATTTTCATAATGTATTTTTCGTTAAACTATTTCACTATTTTTATCGCTGCCACGCACCAACATTGAATCAAAGTTAGTTATATATTTTCAAAATATTACTTATGCAATTTTGTATTTTGCATTCAAATCGCCGTAGTATGACCCGTTTGGACGATGAGATAACGCGTAAAATAAACGGAATCAATAGTTGCACTCGCTGAACGTAGGTCGCAGGTTATCGACATCATCTTCGCAATTTCAGCGTTTAGAAGTAATTTTAAAACAGAAATGCTTGTTTATATACGCAGGAATCTGCGTAACTGAACATAGCCTTGACGTTCCGCTATTTTACGCGAATTAAAAAGATACGGTCGTACATTTTTATGAAAGCTGAGAGTTACATAGATAAAGATAAATTCCTATCTCTCCTGTTTTCCTTTTTTCATCATATCGTGCATACAATGCTAATTGTTCTCGTAATCTGGGAAAAATTTGGCGCACGTTTTCTATTACTAAATTATTTTAACTGGAAACGTTTTTATGCAAATATCTTTTACAAATATTTTACATAAAAAAAATAAAGAAAGTTTATTATTTTTCAATTTTTACGTGCTCTATTTCGAATTTTATACCACTGTGTAACACGATAACGATAAAACATTATTATCAATTTAATAGTATATAATTTCAGAAACTTTTTTAAAAATGTATATTTTATATGAGATATTAGATTATTAATACAACTATCAATTAAAAAAATTATATTGTTCTAATAAAGAAAAAAAATCAAGTATTATAAATATAATATATCCCTTCTATTCACATCGCTCTTTATTTAGCTAATGTAATTCCCGAAATTCGGAAAGAGGAGAAAGGATACGCTCGTTCGAATCTCTCGTAAATACTTTAAACGCGAACTACCCCATATAAAAGCCCTCGGAGAAAAACTGTTGGAGGGAAGGCGAGCGAAAATTTCTTCACGCGTTAAAGAGCTTGCTAAGGGCTAATCGTAGCCCCTGTCCGTGTCGAGGGCCGGGCTTTATGCCGCTTTTTATGTCTCGCAACCTTAATCTAAGGCTCTTAGCCAGCCGCGTTAAACTGTAGATTTTCTACGAGCCCGCCTCTCGTAAACCGCATTGTTCCGGCCATGAGTCTCCTTCTCGGCATTGCATCGTTCCCGGATATCGCGCATTTTCTTGCAGTTGCAGGTACCCACTGAGACGCGAAAATTAAGGGTACAACTTTCTTTTTTATATCGATGAAGAAAAATGTTCTGGATTCTTCTCCACGACTATAACAGAATCGTACAATCGTCAATATTTCGCACATCAAGCATTGGCAGACGTGATCGACATTTATAATCAGACTCGCTAAAATCCATTTTATATTCAGGGTGTCTAACTCCTTGAAAAAACATAAAAAAAACCTGGATTTCTCAGGTATTTCTTTTGTATCTGGAAAAATCAAGGAATTTTCATGGAATTTATTAGGACTTGGGGAATTTTTTAAAAAATTCTCTCTCTCTTTGATAATTATACATATATATCTATCTCTATTTATGTATTTAATATCTTAACAAAATATTGAATATGCAGTACGTATTCTTTATTGCAATTTTTAATATGAAAATATTATGCGAGTGAAAAATGTTGATCTTACGAAAGTTCTTCAGTTCTTTCCAGTACATTTATAAATCTAGCTCTTGAAACTTAAGAGGCTTTATATTTTTAGTAAAAAACCTTAGAAAACGCATGTAATAAAAAAAAAATATCTGAGAAAATAGCAGGAAAAATCTTTAAAATATTCTCTTTACCTGGAATTTTGAACGAAAATATCTGGAAGATATTTTTACAAGATTTAAGTAGATATTCTGTAAAAGAAAAAAAAAAAATCTCCAAATTTCTGAAAAATTTTATCGCGTGATACGTACAGATATTGCCGATTTGCAAGTGATTTTATGCATACATACCGTCGCCGATATCGATCGCCCGAAAACACGCAAGGGAAGGGGCTGAGAGGGAGGGAGCGGCCGACGATCATTGAATAAACGGGTAGCTACATTTGGAGCGACATTTGGTCAATTGTCAACGTGAGAGAGCACACATACGTGTTGTAGATTCGAGGTCGCTCTCCGGATAGCGCGCATTCCTCGTTGCTTCGCACATCGGTGATTTGTATGTAAATGCGAGATAGGCTTGCGGAAATAACTTGATCTGGAACTTGTAATTGGCTTGCCTGGCCGAGCGCTGTTTAACGATGACCGATATTCATCATCCATTTTGCGTTGTCTTCCTCTATTAATTTTCATCTTCTTATCCCATAGATCATCACTTATCATTAGTAAGTGTTAATCGAGAATAGCTCGGCGCATCAGGCAGTTTTTATTGTTAATAAACAACTAGAAACGGATACAAACTTGATGGAATTGTGCAAGAATGTGGATAAATAATGAAGGAGTTGTAAAGGGTGTACGAGGGATAATACCATTAAGGGGACTAGGCAATAGTATTCGTCGAAAATGAAGTCTTTTTTGGGGAATTTATTACAAAAAAATGAATTAAAATCGGTAATTGTCCTTTAACAAAATATTTATTAGGATCATAAAATATTAAAAAAAAATTTTTTTACTTGAGAATATTTTAGTTGAGTTGATATTTATTTTTTTAGTTGAGAGCGCATTAAAAATGGCGCTGCAGATGGCTGATCGAAAATCAAACAGGCGATTCAAATGGTGATTTTTTTAAAAAAGTGTGTCGAAAAAAACAGATATTTGATTTTTTTTTTTTTTCAAGAACTAAAGTTCGCACAAACTTTTTAGAGGTTCAGTCCGAAATTATACATATTGTAAACATGCTCAATTTTTTTCAAGTCGATTTGAGCTTCTATTTTGAGTTATCACTGCAAAACTTATTTAAAAATTCTTTTTGATCAGCCATCTACAGCGCCATTTTTAATGCATATTCTCAACCAAAAAAAAAATTTTTTTATAGTTTATGATCTTAATAAACATTTTAAAAATCCTTTTCGATCAGCCATCTACAGCGCCATTTTTAATGTATATTCTCAATTTAAAAAAAAAATTTTTTTATGGTTTATGATCTTAATAAACATTTTGTTAAAGGACAATTCTCAATTTTAGCTTATTTTTTTGTAATAAATTCCTCAAAAAAGACTTCATTTTCGACAAATACTATTGTTTAGTCTCCTTAATTTATATATAACATTTCGTTTATATTTCTTAACAAAAAATATATGTAAAAATTATATATGTATAAAGGGGTTGAATGCTATTTTCATTTCTCTCGTTACATAAATTTTCATTCAGCACTTTGTCATTTGATTCATATAATACATTGATATTTTACGTCTTTGAGTTTTTGTCACGCGCGCTTTTCCCGAGTTTAATTTACTCTCAGCTTAAATACAGATATTTAATTAAAGTTCCGGATCCGAAGTTAGCGAAACGATTAAGATCGGAGATATGTAAATGAATTGTCGAAAGCGAGAAAGCGAGCTCCTGTGCAGAGAGACGGCAATTACGCTTGTTTTTGTACACTTAAATTGCTCGCGACGAGAGAACACAACTGGAGTTTCTTCTCATTGTCAGATATATGGAACACGAGCATATATCTTCGCCGCTATGTAATACAATTGTCGGGAATAAAGTTAACACGTTTCCGTATATATGTGTATATATATATGTATGTGTTGATCGTAGTATGCACCGCAGCGTGCACATCGCCATA